TATTTTATTTAAAAAATACTAAATACAATTAAATTTTCCAGGCAAATTTGCCTGGAATACAGTTTAAGGGATAATATCAAGAATAAACTATTTAATCTATCTTACATTCAAGGGTTTGATATTCTTTTATTATAGTAGAGTCTATAAGAAGCAAACTATGCTATCTTTCCAAACTTGCACAAAAACTCTTTAGTATTACTCTATTTCAAGCTAATTGTAAAAGAAATCTTTTGATCTTTAAGTGGTTTATTAATAACAAACAAGTATATTTTAATATTCAAAAGCTTGAAGAAATGGTAAAAATTCAGTCATATTACATAACAAATATACAGAATAAGCTTAACTGTTTAGATTTTGAATTGACTAAATATGAGTTGTACAAAATAATAAATCTTGCATCAATTAATAGTTTTATCAAAAATGAGAAAGATGAGGAAAATGAAAGTAAAATAATAGTATATATGATGATAATCTTTTAACTTGAACTAATTTAATTTTGAAAGAAACTGTAAATTTAAAAGATCCAGTTTTTCAAGAAGAAGATTTCATGCTATGTAAAGTTTTAACAAGTGATACAAGTAATAAAGGCAATAATAATATTGAAAGCAACAATGATATGAATTTTGATCCTAAAAGTCTTGTTGATACCATATTAAATAAACTAGTCGATTAGTATAATAGGTATTATCTTTATTATTTTTGTGATATTTTAAGTTTTAATATTTCGAATTAATTTAGTTTTAAATTGTTAATAATATGAAGGATTGCTTGCAAACTTGACTAAATTATTAAAAATTAAACCAAATACCATTTTTTAAAAAACAGATAAAATAATATAATTCAAATAATTATTTTTAAATTAAATATTTTTTAGAAAATTACAGTATTAATAAATAAAGATACTTTTTTGACTTATTTTAAAATTATATAATTAAACTTATATCAATATAATAATTAGTTAACTTCATTTATTATAGCTATTTTTATACATAATTCTTGGAATACCTGATAAAAATTGGCTGAATAATTTTTAGCTAATTCAATTTAGTTTGTAATTTCAGCATGATCCATATAAATTAATGACTATTTTACAGACTGTTATAACAATAATATTAACAATATTAAATTTTTATTCGAATACTTATTCAATATGTTTAGTAAGTCAATAAGAATAAGTCTTAATAAAAAAAATATAAAAAAAAGTACTATATATTAATTATATAGCCTTTTATTTGTTGGTTCATAGCTCTTTAAATTGTTATAAAACTAATTTTATATTTAATTAGAATTCTATCTCAGATTGTAATTCATATAAATATCAATCAAAATTTGTTTTATTAAAGTTTAAAAATATTTTGTATTATTCATATTCAGTGAATATAGTTCTAAAAGTAATAAAAGCTTTTAATACATTCATATCTTTGAAAATGCTTGAGAACCTGACTTAAAAAAAATATGCTAATATCTAAGTATTAAGCAATTTTTAAAATTATAGACCTTTTAAATTTTTTGTTATCTATTTTTTAGCAAAGATACTTTAAAAGTATCATATTTCTGTATTTAACCAGAGATAAAATATTTAATAATATTTATATTAATTATATAACCTTAAATTAAGAGCCATCTATAAATAATATTATACAAGAGAGAGGGGTTTTACAAAAATAATATTTTTTTATGTTTTTTGCTAAGTTAGAGGAGAGTTGAAGAAAAATAACTTAATTTTTTTATAAAAATATTAATATCTCATAACCCAGTAGTCCAAATTGAATAAATTTAATACTATTAAATTTGTCTTAATGAGAGAAATTTAATGGTATCAAAATTATTTAATTTGAATTACTGGATCAAAAGATATTAGCAAAAACTATTGTCTATATTATTTTATATAAAATTACTATATAATTAATAGTTTTTGTCTATATCTTTTGATCTAATAATTCAAATTAAATAATTTTAGTACAATTGGATTCCTTTCATTGAGATGAATCTAATGGTACCAAATTTATCTAATTTGGATTACTGGATCACAAGATAATCAAGGTTTTGTAAA